CAATTCCCAGTTTCCCCCCCATCAGTCCCCAGCACCCTCCCAGTGCCTCTCAACAACTCCCAGTGCCTGCCAACACCTCCCAGTGCCCTCCCAGTGGCCTCTACCACCACCCAGCACCCTTCCAGTGCTTCCACTCAGCTCCCAATGCCTCTCCCAGTGCCGCTCAACACCTCCCAGTGCCCTCCCAGTGCCCCCCAACACCTCCCAGCACCCTCCCAGCACTTCCACTCAGCTCCCAGTGCCTCCCAGTGCCCTCCCAGTGCCCCGACTGGCCTCTGTCGCGACTCGGGGTCGGGGTTGGTGTTGTCGACGACGACGGGCTGACCCTTGGCCAGGGCGGCCGAGCAGGCGGAGACGCAGCGCTGCCACGAGCCCAGCGTGTCCTGGGGGGCACCGGCGGTCACCGGGGGGGCCACAATGGCCACTGGGCCACCCTGGGCCAAGGGACTCGCCCGGGGCTCAGCAACTCACCCTGTTGACGTACTCATATCCCGCCGGGACCAGGTGCCGCTTCACGAAGGTGGATTTGCCGGCTGGGGGGTGGAAATTTTCCCTTTTTCCATCCCCCCTCAGAGTTTCCACCTTTTGCCTCCTGTTTCCCGCCATTTTCTCCCCCTCACGTTTCCCGCCATTTTTTTCCCGCCATTTTCCTCCCCTCACGTTTGCCGCTCTTTTCCCCCTCACATTTCCCACTCTTTTCCCCTCATGTTTCTGGCCCTTTTTAACTTTCATGTTTCCACTCGTGTTTTTCACCCTTTTTCCTCACATTTTCTGCCCTTTTCCCCTCACATTTCCCTCCCTTTTCCCCTCACATTTCCCACCTTTTTTCCCCTCACATTTCCCTCCCTTTTTCCTTATATTTCCCCCCATTCCCCCTCACATTTCCCACCCTTTTCCCCTCACATTTCCCACTCTTTCCCCCTCACATTTCCCACTCTTATCCCCTCACATTTCCTGCCATTTATTCCTCACATTTCCCATCCTTCTTCCTCTCACATTTCCTGCCCTTTTTCCCTCACATTTCCCTCCCTTTTTCCTGACATTTCCCACTCTTTCCCTCTTACATTTCCCACTCTTTTTCCCTCACATTTCCCTCCCTTTTTCCTGACATTTCCCACTCTTTCCCTCTTACATTTCCCACTCTTTTTCCCTC